ACCATGAGTCCCCTATGGAGTCTTACTTGTACCCATCTATACCACATTTTAACCAGCTCTTTCACACTTGCATTGCCCCCCACACACATCCAGGGGAGCAAGACAAGCTCTTAACCAAGACCTTTTTCATCTCTCCTTTATTTATAGACCGGAAACAAACAGTTTCACTATTGTTATCTTTTACTGCTTATTTTGCTCTTTAATTACTTTAACTATTCCCTTCCATTTTACTTATGTTCAGGTTTTCCCACTTTCTCCTTTTTAACTATTCCTGGGATTTCTTCCTAGACTTACTGCTACTCTTTCCTACACAACCTTTCTGCTTTCTAAGAAAGAGTCAAGAGCATGACTGTTAAGCAGTAAATGGATCGCTGAATTTTGATCGATGCATTTCATGCCTAATCCAGTAATTCATTATACTTTGAATAAACATGTATTATTTCATTTCCAATAGTTATGGTCTCTGAGGTACTGAATACCACTGTCCTCCAAATTAGCACCTCCAGAGAACACCAGGTTTGGATAAAGTAATCCTAAAAAATAAAGTAAAAAAAAAAAAACAATCACTCTTCCCCCTTACACATGAAAAAAATCAAACACATGACATAAGTAACAGTAATTAAGCAATTGCATCTACAGCTATTTTTCAAGTGTATTTAGGAAAATGCAACCAGTAAGTATCCTTCGATATTTCTTAAGAAAACTCATCACGAGAGCTTCTGAATTACTGTCTGTATGCTACTAATTTTAATGGTCATCAGAAGAAAGAATTCAAGAAGCCCTGATGCCACACAATATGGCCACTGAAAGCTGTAAACAAGACATCACATCACAGATATGGAGTTAAGGAAAAGTGATGGGTTACCACACAGCTCGTCTTTGAGATGTAATGTACCAGGACTATGACACCTACATGCAACGCAACTGACATGAGCTCCCTCACTTCACTGAAGACTTGCCTAGTCAGTCAGTAGTCATGGATTGTAGTGCAAACTGTGTCTGCACATAGGAGAAACTCAAGGTTGCCTTCAGTCCCAAGACAGAGGTGAGGGCTACTTCCACAGCAACAGCAGTCTAGAATGGGACAGCAAGCTGTCAGCCATCAGTAAGATTAATTTGCACCAGTTTGTACAGCGGGTATAATGCCCTACTTTCATTCACTACTGACTTCATTTGAAAGCACTGAGACAAACTTGAGACCACAGAGCTCCTAACTGAGCTTTTCAAAAGACCCTAGAAATGCTCCTCATCAGCCCCATATGGCTGATACAGCATATCCCCAGCTCCTTTTCCCAGCAGATGCATTTACACCCGTGATGTTGCATACTTTGAAAGCTTCGACTATCAGCATCCAAAAGGTAATCAGCTGATTTAGATGCTCTGCAGAGACAGCACACTTTTGCTTCTCCTGCTGTAGAGCAGTCCTGCTTTCCAGTATCATCCTGGGAGCCATGATACATAGAGGGGGTGGGAAAAAAAATCTACACTGATCATATATCTGAAAGAGATACATGGCACTGCAGTCTTAACAGAAATAAATCCTGCCTGAGTCCTCTTTTGCTCAAGAGGAAACATTCACACTCCACGACATAAAATTATGTTATTTAAGGCAGCAATAAAAAGAGAAACACATTGTTTAGATCAAGAAACAGCTCCATCTTCACATAGCTTAAGTGGGTAACAAGTCATCACAATTTTTTTTATAATACCTGAAGTATTCAGATCTCAGCACCTCAAGGTAACATTACATTTCACTTCCATATGTCTACAGGTGTTCTTGTATACCAGAAGCTTAAGTGTTACAGCAATCATGAAGTTTAGTATGAATGAAACATAAGGATGCCAATTAACACTGATGAATATAAAACCTACCACCTGCTTTCACCCTCTCCATGCAAGTTTTATAACTATTTCCACCAGCTAGAGCACCTCAGCCGTTATTTTTATTTACATGTTACATTGCATGTTAAAAAAAGTCTTGTATAATATTTAAATAGCAGTCAAGAACAAGCCTATACAATATATTTTATTAAATGTAGATGCTAACACTGTAGTTAAACTGTGGTGCTCATGTAAAATAAATACAGGCTAACAGTGATCTTAAACACAACAGACCTACCGCAACGAAACAGAGCGAAGAACTGTTCCAAAACTGTAGATTATTTATTATTTTGAGTTAAACTGAAGTATGAGCTGGACAAACCTCTGGTTTCATTTTTTGCTGATTATGAAACGATCCGCATTTAACTCTTCTGCTGTCAGAGGTTACTGTTGTGTCTTCCAGTGCAGTTGTTCTGTCTCCCCACACAGATGCTGCACGCACTGCTGTACCAGCTACATAACATACCAGTATTTCACTCTCCCCAAGTATTGAAATCCGCTCTACACTATTCCTCCTCCTCCTCTTACTATCGTCTTATTGTGTCTCCTAAAGCCTTTTTGAAGTGCATTTCTTTCCCCTCCATCTTCTGAAAACACATATTCAGACAGGAATTCCTAAGCCATTATCACTGTCCTTTTTCCTCCCTTTACACAAAAGGCTTGTATTGTCTTTACAGTGCATGGCTGTACTTCCTCTTGCCCCACGTAGTAACCTTGTTTGTTTGACCTCATATTTTTGTCATGACTTAGCCTGAAAGTCATAATAAAATTCCCAGTCAACTTGACTGTTCTGGTCAATAATTACACAGTAATTTCCTTAGCTTTATTGACATCACTTCTGTATATGGTATGCTGCATACTTGTATTTGTATTGTTTTCACACCTTTCTGACCCAACCCATGTAGCTGTCCTTCCAGCTCCACTACACCCTGGTGTTCTGTACTGCTGGCTGTTTTAGGAGACTGTTTCCACCCCTCTAAAATTAAAAGGGTATGTCCCACAAATGCTTATTTTTTTCTTGTTTTATAAAGAAGCTAAGCATAACCAAGTACTCAAATTGCAAGATATATTTTTCCCCTCAACAAAGTCACTGAAAAACACAGTATACATTGTTTCTTTCTGGTCACCTTAAAATTCTGCCTGGTTTCTCTTGAATTCATGCTTACACTCCAAGAACAACATCGTTACGAAAACTAGTTGTGTACTGAAATTACGACCAATTCCTTATTCCGTCCACCTACTCAGCATAGCTGAAAAATACTTGACAATACACACACTATTTCATGGATCAAGACTTAGGGTAACATTTGCTATGCATGTCATGCATTTCCCCTACTTCCAAACCACACTAGTTTTTATTGTATAAGCTTAGTACATTCTTCATTGCATCAAGTGGCGTTATATAGAGAAGTAACTAGTAGAATTAATTGTACACATAAGCTGAACTTGGTAGCCCCGTTTTACTGAAAAAAGGCAGTGTTTATTAACATAGCTCTGTCTTGACTCAGAAAATCCAGGGGTTGCTGTTACATCAGATTTCACATACGTTTTCTCTTCCATCCCACTTGAGCTTTTTTGGGGTAATATTTCTCTGAGGAAATACAGATCAAATAAATCATCATTTCTAGCTGTCAGTCAAAAATGATTGAGTAAAGAAAGGTTTGATTTTATATTGAAGGTTTTCTGCTAGGATTTTCTGGTGGCGCTGTTTTCAATTCTCCCTTTTGCCAGCATTATCAGCGCTGACCAGCCAGCAGAAAGAAACAGTGATGAAAAGTAATCAGCAGTCTTGGGTACTGTCAACATCTAATCACATTCAGAACCAATTTATGTGAGATGACACCAGCATTATTAAAAGCTACAGCCATTGTACATATATGCGTTCTCCCCCCCCACACCCCACCCCTTCACACTTATCGTTGACAGTTCCAGAAAAAAGGAAAACAACTGTGGGAAATTTCAGGGGAAGGAAAAGAGTTCACTAAGCACTAAGATAGTGACCAAAAACTCTTTTCCCCTGCTCCTGACCTCTCAGTCCAGGAGTCATTCGTACTTTAAGATTTCCCCATTCTTTGCTTAGATTACACTTCAAAACTTCTGGCAGATGTTCTCAAGTGTTATCGGTCAAGTTCACATATGCCAAAAGCAATCTGGGCAGACTGACATCTGATTTACACTCATCAGGACTGAAATAGAAAGCCACCACATGACACAGCACATGGATGCTCTGAACTTCGCGTTACTATTACCTTCACATTTCGATGTAAAAACAGCTTCGGAAGGTTATGTCAAGTCTTAAACCAAAACTTATTCACCTTAAAAGAGCAGAAATCTGAACCCTTTGTTTGATCCTGAGTGCAAAACGTGCTACCACAGCAAGTTCGCCAACCCTATGCAAACTAAGCCTTCAAACCTTCGCTTTCAACTACAGCACCTCCTTCATAGCGAGGGAGTCACCGCAAACAAAGCCCAACTCTGCCCGATAAGCGCTTGCTATTGCCTAAGAGCTCCACAGCCTCATACTGGAAGCTCACTGCCGGACCAATTTACAAGGGGACGAAACGAGGTCTCCAGCACTTCCTGCAGCGCTCCGCCAAGGAGCCGCGGAGCGCACCCCGCAGGGCGACCGACCCCGCTCCGCTTACCTTGCGTGGCGGCTGACACACCGCTAAAAACCCCCAAAAAACGCCACGGGCGCGGGGCCCCCCCGCGGGCCCGGGGGCTGGCCGGCCGTCCCGAGGCGGCTCGGCTGGGGCAGGCGCTGCCACCTTCCTGAGCGCCGCATCGTTGCCAGAGGGGGGAGACTATCGCATGCGGGAGCGCAGCCGGCAGCCAGCCGCTCGCTCCCCGCCCGCCCCCGGAGCCCCGAGCCGGGGCAGGACGGGGGCTGCCCACAGCGGGCTCGGAAGGGGCCGAGGGAAGCCGCGGGGCAGGCCCGGGACACTCCCGCAGCCCCGGCCCAACTTCCCCAGCCCCCCCCTCCTAACGGTGCTAACGGCGCTAACGGTCCCCGCCGCAGCCCAACGGCAGCGAGCGCCGCGCCCCCCCACCCCCACCCCATTCTCTCTTCTCCTCTCCCCCCTGGCCGCGAAGTTTCCCCGTGCCCCCGCCGGCCTTACCGCAGCACAGGCGGGACACCAGCAGCCCCAGCAGCCCCAGCCCCGGCCCGCCGGGCGCCGCCGAGCCCAAGCGCCGCCACCGCCGCCGCCAGGAGGCACCGGCCGCGGGGAAAAGTTCCCCGCGGGCTGCGGGGGGAGCAGCAGCAGCGGCCGCAGCCCCGGCCCCGGCCATGCTCCGGGCTCGGCTCCCAGGCGCTGCGCTCCGTGCCCGGCTCCGTCCCCGGCTCCGTCCCGCTGCCGCCGCCCCGCGCCCGGCTCCGGCCGCGTTTAGCAGCGAGCAGGGAGGCGCCGCGCCCGACTCCCCGCCCTCCGCCGAGCGGGCCGCACCACCCGCTGGGGGGGGGGGAGGGAGGGAGAGAGAGGAGAGGGAGGGAGGCGAGCGCCGCGCCCCCCTGTCCCTGTCCCCGCCCCCGCCGTACCCCTCCCGCCCTCCCTCCCCGCGCCTCCCCCCCCCCACCTCGGGCAAGTCGTCTCGCCCCCTGTCCCCGCTGCGGGTAAGTCCAAACCCAAGGCGGGGGTTCCCCGTGGCAACGCGGCGGGTGCAGCTAGTTTGGGGGGGCTGCCGCGGTGTTCTCACCCCCCCCCCAATGGGGGTCTGTTGGTACGCGCCGCACCGCCCACTCCCCCCGGCCCCGCCCGCCCAGCCCGGGCCGGGGGCGCCGCGCCCCCCCCCCCCCCCCCCATCCCGTCCCCTCCCTGAGGGGCCCACAGCAGGGGCTGGGTGCCCGCGGGCCGCAGGGCAAGTATGTCCATCTGGGGTGCGCTGTGCTTAAAGAGTGACCGAAAAATACTCAATATACCACGAGTATACCATGTATACACCACCAATATACCATATACAACGAACATACCATGCATGTAGTGTGTATGTGCCACCAAAGTACCATATACCATGAATACACCACGTATACACCACCAATATACCATATATATACCATGTATATACCACCAATGTACCATATACCACCAATATACCACGTATACACCACCAATATACCATATATATACCATGTATATACCACCAATGTACCATATACCACCAATATACCATGTATATACCACCAATATACCATATACCATGAATATACCATATATATGCCACCAATATACCATATACCACAAATATACCACCAATATACCATGCCTGGTGATACCACGCCGCGATACCCGCCGGTTAGGTGTTCCCAACCAGCCCACGTTCTCCACGCGGCAGGGCAATACTCACAGACTTCCCCCCGCGCTGGGCACCACGAGCAGCTCTCTCCCAGCCGTGCATGGATAAGCTTATCAGAGGCTCACAATGTTCATCCAGTCTTCAGCTACTCCGAATGTTTTCCAATTAGCTGCCTTCATTATTTTTTAGCTGTGGAACTAAACCAAATTCAGGCAAAGAGTTCCTACGGGCAAACTTAGCCACGATGGGTGTTCTACATTTGTCGCCATTTTGGAGGGCCATCAAACGTAACTGAGAGGATTCTGAAAGTTTTGTGAAATCTCTTCCATTTCATAAATCAGCTAATCATAAATCAGCTAATACAAAACTCTTCCCATCCCAGTTTGCTCTGGGACTGGGGTTTAGGATTGCTCAGGTGGTACGTAGGATCTTGTCCCAAACTGCATAAACAACTTTTGGGGACAGTTTGTTCAGAGGAAAAAGGGGTGTGCAGTGGCATGGTCTTCCTGCTCTGCTGATACTCTCAAAGCCTGACCTTTTACCCTGTTGGTGGAATTTTTGCCATTTTGATTCCATGGAAACCCATATATCCCATGATGCCAATAAATCTGGATAAATGTAAGACTGAATTAATCATGAGAGTCCGATTTTTATTTATACTATATAGAGACTTTAAGATGAGAAAATGGATGAGCATAGCGGTAGGAGAAAATATTAATATGGCTTTGCTGATGTAACATTCCAGCCACATGTATTAATTGTGCGTAACTATTCCATTTCCCCATATAGAAAAGTCCTATATAGATAAATCCCTTCTACTTAACAGTTGAAGCAAATTACATCTCATAATTACATTTACGCCAAGTTCAAGGCAGTCTTAAGCTGGACAGGAAATATAAAGGGGCCATAGCGTAATTGAGAGTGCAACCCTTAAAATTCTATTTGTGACAACTATAATCAAATTGTCATATGCTATATTATTTTCAGTTCTTCTCATTCCCAAATAACAAAAGGCATTAATTGCATTAAAATGAAATGTTTTGAAGGTCTGGCACCAAATTATGTACACCTATTCACCCGGGCTAAGGAAGCAAATGTGGTTTGTCATATTTAAAGCTGTGCCCAGTCTGTAGGTAACATCTTCTAGTGCCAAGTTCAGTGCTGTTGCAGGCAGGCATCCTGGGGACTATGTGATAGAAAAGGAAATTTGACTTCATGATATCAAGGCTAAATTTGGCTCTCTGATGCTTACAACACTCCTGAAGGTATGATGCTCCAAACAATGAATCCCGCATAATATTGAGTAAGTGTATATAGGACACACTAGCTCAGTTTCTGTAATTCCATTGTTACAGGCGTATTTTTCCATAAAAAGATGTTTTTTTTTTTCCAGAGTTGGCAGCAGTCCTGTTTGAATGCATCTTTGAGCTGCAGAGCTACAAAAGCCTGTGCTCTCCTTCCCACCCGCATTTTCCTCCCTCTCTGGCCATTGTCCGTCCACCTGCCCTTCCCCCCCCATGAAAAAAAGCCCTTCCCCTTAATTTCAGCTTGGGGTCTTTGGCAAGCTTTCGCTTTGCAGTTCTTAACCCTTTTGGTCATTTGAAAACAAAGTTCTGAAGCAGTGTGAAATTAACTTATATGCATAACATTTGAAGTGACGGCACAAATTCCCACTGGAATGAAGGTCCATTCACTGCAGTGGGAATTTGTAAATAGATTTGTAACAGAACAATGCACTTTTCTGAAAACTCTCACTTCCATTTGCATGGATGGGATGGGCCTCCCTAGCAATGTTTCTGCACCACCACCCATTATGACCTTTTAAAATAAAAATACAGTGAAACAGCCCAAAAGAAAAGCTGCCTTATTCCACACACTCAGCCAGACGAGACGATCATACTGCTGTTAGGTAGAGTTTCTGTGACTTGCTGACAGGTGCTTACATTTCTGCAGTGAGTGAAATCCTCGCTGCATCTTTCCTCCAGCTGAAGTCGGAGTCGTCATGTCTCTGTCCACGCTCCAGCAAAACTGCAGCCAGAGTTAATATTGCTGTATGGAGAAAGGAGCCCATACGATTCCTTCTCGAGGAAGCCATGGAAAAGCATCTCTGCTGGCTGTGCAGGCGTGATTGACACCGATTCCAGCAGGGCCAAGGATGAAAAGAAACGTGGGCTGCATATTTATCTGCATGCATCTCCTGTCCCTGCGGTGGGCTCGGTGCTCTGATCATCTGTGAACTTGTATGGGAAGGGCTCAGACAACTCCTCGCCACGCACAAAGTTCAGTTTATTGCCAGCAAAGTATGTTTTTAATAGAGTTGGATACACTTAGAAATCTTTGGGTAAAGGATGCTCTACCACCATGACTCTTACTAACAAATGATTAAGATTAGGAGTATGTCATTACGTTGGATTGTTCTTATTTTTTTCCAAGCTTTTTGCATACAATATGATGCAAAATGATCTGGCTTGTCATCTCTTAGAAAAATCTATCACAATATTTTGATTTAAATCATAAGCTAGCCTAGCCAAGAATAACATGCATACAGTTGCATGGTATATGATATTTTTTAAAATCTATTTGCCAAATATTTTATTTATTAAAGATGACATTTAAATCTTGTTTCAATCAAAGACTGTCCCTTTAATGAGAAATCTGAGCGGCTCACTGCCTCTTTATTGCAAAGCGTGATTAAGAAAACTTTGATTCTCTTACACACAGAGCAGCCCCGCTCTCATGTGTTTGTGCAAGATCCTTGATGTGTCTCAGCAAAGTCTCAGAACTCATGCTTTTTTCACAAAGCAGTAATGTACTCACCGACAATAGTCATCCCCAACCTTACGTTTCATACCTGTGGTCAGAAGTATATATCATCCCCTCTTCAATTAAACAGAGAGCCGTATCGTCTCAGCCAAGAGGTTTAGGACTCCCAGCCAAGCAAGTAAATTCCTTATGCATTTCTGACAGGCAAAAAATAGTAGGCAAGGAAATGGCATGGTTTGCAGTAGGATCTCTGTGATTAGCACTTACCTCTCTGAAATGAGGACAGAAAACTCAAGGATTCCTCTTGGAAGGACATTTGCAAGCCAAACAATGCTTCCTCTGTTTTCTCTCTGCTCTGCTTCCCTTTACGGTATTCTCGTGCCCTCTTTCTGTATACTTGTTTTCTGTGCTTCCTCACTTCCTCTTTAACTATTTAGGTATACTTACTTGCATTGAGTTGTGATATTTTACACTAATAAATACAAAAACACCCTTGGTTTGTATATATCTGCGTGAACAAATGCACAGTTTTTGCACTTTATTGTAAAACAATTGCATTTCTCTCTAGGCACAGGCAAAAGATATTTAAGATGATCAAAAAGGTCTCTGTTGTGGCCACAGCAATGCCCCAGCCACAGCTCTGTGGTCTGATCATTTTCCCTATACAGAAGAGAGCTGCTGGCCTGCCTCCACAGGGCTGAGCTCCTTCCAGCCCTGCCTGGTGTGAGGTGGTGGAGGAAGAGCCTGAGGCTACGGCCCAAGGTGGTCCTGATGCTGTGCTGTTCTTCCCATCTGTCTAGATGTTTTGCTCATGGCTAAAGGAATCTCCTCTTCTAGAGAGTCAAAAAGAACAAAGATAAGCTTCTGAAAAAATAATAATAGCCAAGTGAAGTCACAACTTCATAGTGCCTGCCTACCTGTCACGGCAATCTTTTCATTGTCTCCATTCAATGACGTGATCCCACCTCTGGCAAGAGCTTAGTTCTTGATTCAAGGAAAAGGCAGTTTTAACATTCATTTTAAGGGGATCCTTTATTCATTTGTAGTATCATTATTGTTACACCAGCTTTACTTAATTATGAGAGAAGAAGCAGGCTTACAATTCCCCAGAGAAACTTGCTGTTTTTTCTTCTTAGACTTACTGTCTTTGTCTTCTCAGCTGCTCCTCCCTTAGTCTTTTAATTTTCCTTGAGAGTGCTTATACTTAGCCTTAGGAATAAGCACATTTTTTGGGAGATTTTAACTGCTGTAAATGGTGTAATCTTATTACTTTCCTTTTCTTCTTTTCCATTGTCTTTTCCTCTGTGCATTGATTGTTAGATGCTGCAGGTATTCCTCAGGATGAGGAGTGGACTATGCAAACCTGAAGGCTGTGCCTGCATG